CCATCAAAACGCTTGCCATTTGATATAAATAAATAAATAGTGGTGTGATAGTATAAACCAAACATTTTGTTGCAAAGTTAAGGTGGAAATCGGATTTCTTTTTATTCAAGTTTGAACCAATCTAGTTAAAATCTAACCTTTGCCACCCAAAACATCAATCACTGTAAGTTCTGAAACAGAGCGTCTTCAAGGCTGGCGACGGTACATAGTTCTATTTGTTGAAAGCTCTATTGGCCCCGGAAAAATATCAAAGATTCACCCCAACAGGATATTTTGTACAATCAATTTTCAGGAAGCATTTTTGGTTAAAGAACTCAAGTTGATAAAATGTATTTTAAGAAGGATTCTCGATGTTATGGTGGTAAGTGCCAGACCATATATATATATATATATATATATATATATATATGACATGTAGTATGTGCTTGCTAATTGAAGTAAATTAAGAAATATAAATTATATATGTATATAAATACGCATAACAGAGAAGTATAAAACTTGAAAGTAGCACAAACGACAATAAATACCAGTAATTAAAATTTATATAACTTTAGTCCGAGTTTACATTTTTGAACTTTTCTAACCAACACGCAAAATCGAACTTATAATTACTTAAGTGCAAATTCAGTGCAACGCCCGAATAGCGGAATGGCCAGCGACATCGGCAATGTTTGGTTAATGAAGGAAATGGGGAAATTCAAGTTTCGCCGTGATGTAATTCTTTTAACCAAATTAAATTCTTAATTAATTGTCTGTTTTTGTAAGATATAAAAAATTGGTTTGGCATTATATCTAACTCTATACAGATGAGTGTATTCGATTTCAGCGCTCTGGATTCATCAACAAGCAATTGGAGTCCAGTAGGCATCTTCAAAGACATTTGGCAATTAATGTGTGTGAAAAGTGTAGTATTCGTGATCAGTGTTCAGTGGAAGAAAGTCCGAATCAGGTTTTAAGAAGTGTACTTTAGATTCGAGTAAAATTTACCTCATTCGACGTAACCCAACCGATAAGTCTTGCCCCAACTTAGCCGTTAATCTCTACAACTGGCTAAAGGAAGTCAATTGATATAGCTGTAAAAAGTATAAGCGAATATCTTATCCGATGCATTAAAGGACATCTTTGCCAACACTTCCATGATTATAGCACAATTATTCCGAGTGACGTATGTTTACTTGCATCTAAGAGGGTTTTCGAGTGAGAAAGCATGACGATGCACCAAAATTAGACTATTATTACTTAACAAATATATAATTGTAAACATGAACTTAGTTTTGATCAAGACAGATTTTAAATTATAAATATAACTCATTTTAGGCAAATAATATTTTAATTAAATAATTCCCAATTAAAGTTGAATTTCTGTTCAATTGGTCTGTAATAATAAATTATATAGCAATATTTACTTAAATTTTTATAACTGTGATCAATAATTAGCATCATTTGTTTTGGCAATATTTACATTCAGTACAATTATTATTATGTTAATATTTAACCCAAATGTTTTCTCGTTTCCCGAGATGCGGGATCTGTAACAGATGACCTTATTCTTGTTCAAAACAAGCTTTCGGGTTTATGGTTTTTTTCTTTCCTAATGATTTACACATGCCATTGCAAATTACATCTTCCGCTGGCCATTTGAAGTTCATCGAGGTGAAATCTTGAGAAGAATAAATAAAAATAACTGAATGATAGGTTGTTATTATAATAACACATAAGGTATATAAAGCAGGCAAAAGTGTATCAACCACTTATGCTTCGGAAAGATGAAGAGGATATGGAATATAACTCAATACAATTTCAAAGAACATTAACAATTAGTAATAATGCCGGTGAGATTTTTACGAAAATGCATTTAATTGATTAAGATGTCTAAAGTTATATAATTAAATGATGCTTTTAGAACTTTCATGAATGACATCTACATCAAAACAAATTTCTGATACCATCGATATTCTGAACCAAATCTTAATTTTAACGTAATAAATCTTGGATATCGATATCAAATGATTTTATCCAACAGAACTATTAAGAAGACTATCAAAAATTATAGTAAACCACATTTGTATAACTAAATTTAAACTACTTGTAAATGGCACAGCACTAGTTCCATTTAATTTTATTATACTGTCTAACAGTCAAGTATGTAATTTCAAACAATAGCTCGTGGCTGAAATAAATCAATAAGTTTGAAAAGTTCACATTATGGGAAGTCCAACTTTCGCAACACATGTATTTATTGAGAGACTCATTGGCATAAAGAAATCTCTACAAGTGGTGAAAAGTAAACTCTACTATTTTTGTGAACACATTGAAGAAACCCACTTAAAAGACTCTCTAAGGAAAGTTTTTGATTATATTCCAACTTTGTCATTAGCAGTGCCTGAGAGGAATGCCAGAGCTGACTCAGATCTGCTACCTGGAAATAATTCACTAAACCAAAATGAAGGTATCCTTATTAATCAGCCGAAGAAATATGGTATATTTCAACCTTATCCCATTTCCGAAACAATCATTGTCAAGAAAATGCCATTAAAGAAGAAAAAGTCAGATGATTCCAGTGACCCAAAGTCTACAAATAACGATAAACGTCCAATTCAGATTCTCATTTTCGAATTAGATAAGGCCATACAGAACCTATATGTAGTAATTGAATCCCTTGTAGACACACTGGAAAGGCATCAGAAGTCAGACAACATGAATACATTTTGGAGAGATATCAATTATACAGTGAAGCAACTTCGATTCCATATACCGATTATTTTGAAAGGAGTTGCTCATCTAAATAAACATAGACAAATGACGAGATTGCTATCAGTATTGAGATACCGTGGAACAGTATTAAATGTCATTTCGAAATTAGAAGAAGAGGGAAAGCAAAGAAAGTGGAAGATCTAAGAAGCGTTCGTGTGAACGCAGGGAGTAAATATAAACAAAATAAATTGTAATTAATACAAGTTGGAGAACTTTTAAATTAAATCAAATCGAGGATTGTTTGATCTTATTTTTTTAAAGAAAGACTTTTATCACAGATAAAATATAAAATTCATAAAAGAGCAAACTGTCAACCAAACAATGCAACCGAAATTAGAAATAAGAATAGTGTGCTGCTATAGAAGCAATAACAGTCGATTTAAGAAACCAAACAAGCAAAAAATTCAATTCAATTTAAATAAACTACTCTTAGACATAAAATATTATTTTAAATAAATGAACTCACAAAGTACTATTTAGGTAAGCTCTTATGTTCAAATTTCACAGATAGTCAAAATGGTTGTTTATCAGTACGATGAGTTTGGCGCCTAATACGTCATTTTATTCAGGTGGGCATCGGTGTTCTAGGGCGTTGAAACTGTTCATTTTTTAATTTGCATACATTATCTAACTATATGTGGATAAATACCCTTATTTACTGCAATGTTTGAAATTTACTGACTATGTCAATTCGTTTGTTTTTTTTAATAATTTGATCACATAATTTGAATATCGTCTCTAATTATATAAATATATCTTCAATCAACTCAAATTAGAATTCACTGACAGTGGAATCTATTTATTTTTATAGAAATGATATTTCCAATTGACCGTGTTTCAACCAAGGAGAATATCAGCTTTCATCGTGGTATTTTGGACCATGATCCATATGACGACAGAGAAGCTTGCGTACGCTTTTAATTTTTAATTCTTAACCCTCTTTAGATCGGCACTCTTTTAAACAAATCAACACATTGGTCTTCTGATCTTCCGAAAAAGAAAGGTACTTCATGATGTATATTTAATTATCCGTACCTCTTTAGACACCTCTGAAGTTTTTACCGAATTCTATGAAATCTGGAAGCAAGTCGAAGGCGACCCATTAGCTTCTGCTGAAAAGTACTCACAACTCACAAACGAATACCTGGCAGTACTTCAAAGGCCAGACAGAGGATCAATGTTTTCAATAAAGTAATTTCAATTTGATCATTTTCATGTTTCTCGTTAGAAAAAGCAACGAACCTTCTCTCTTCGATGCTGTTGATTTGGAACGTTCAACCTGGCAGTTAATACATGCTCTTTACAGCGATCGAATTTGCCACGTTGATTCCCCGCTAAATACTCAATCTCTGAAGGTAAATTGAATTAAATATTGAAAAACGCCTCTTTCTATAGCCATTTTGCCATTCTGAAAAGGAAATTGTTGGCCATTTATATGATACTGATAGTGAGCTTCGAGAAACTCAGGTATGACAGCTTTGATTCTATGATATACTCCTTTCACACTTGATGACATTGAAATTCTCAGATTATTGTTGATTGGCTGGAAGGTAAAGTTCGAGAAGAGATTGTGAAAGTTGCTGGGAAATATGAATGCCTTTTCAACGAATCTACAATTTGGTTAGTTTTCTTTCTGATAATCTTTGCAAAGTTTCTTTGTATCATTCTATTCAGAAGGATTTTTCGTTTTTTTTCGTTTTTTATGTGTATGATTTATTTTCTAAGATCCTGAGATTCTTTATTGTGATTGGCTTGTTCTTTGGGTTACTTAGCTTGTTTCGTAGCATTTTAATCGTGATTATACTATAATTGTTCTTTATCAGTTTTTTTAATTTTATTCTTGTTTTTTTGGTTTTGTGATTTTGTTTTATTTTCCTAATATTTTATATATAAGCTTCACTCTAAGGTCATACACCTGTGTCCAGTTTGACAAGCTATATTAATCTTTTTAACGCATAAACCATGGTTTCCATATTTTGAAATTATCACCTGATACTACAAGAGTGACTTTTTGGGATTCTCAAAATCCACTTTTTGGTAATAACGAACGTATCAGCTTTTGGTTGAGAGGTTTTGAGTTTACTTTCTTTCCAATCATTAGAAAAAAACAAATATGGGATCCACTTTTTACTAAGGGAACTGCCTTTAAGCCTATTGGGTGAAAGAACCAGTTGCTGTTCTCTCCACAAATTCTTAGTGAATAGAGGATGGAAGGAAAAGGAGATACATGCAGTTCCGTTTCATAACTAGACATATTTACCTAGAATGCTATATGCGATTTGTGTTTTTATTTGAGGTCTAGCTTTGTTTTGCTCTTGTGCGAGTGCTGAATGCTCCTTCTTTTGCGAATAGGATCGTAAATCGACTCACAGTTCAGATTTGCGCAAACTTTTTCTTGATACTTTGATTATGGAGGAGACTTTATTTCCGAAATCCTATATTCTTTGCAATTTTAACATAATTTATTTTCTTCAGTTCTCTTAATTTAAGGAAATACAATGACCGCAAAAATATTTGGATTATATATTTAATCGCCTTCTTGTGTTTATTATGGTAGATAACATTGCCTCAAATTGTGTTTAATGATCAGTTGGTCTTCAAGTGTTTTTAAAGTGAGCGCTTATCAATTATAAGCGAAAAATACTGGGTCAATGAATTATAAGCAATTGCCTATTCAGAATATATTTAATACTATTAATTTGTTTTTTTTTCCCACTTAGGGAGAATACACGCCATCTCATTGAAAATATGGGTGTCAGCGATATGAAGGCTAAGCATATCATTTCTCAACTGGTAATCCACTTTCTATTGTTGCATTTGTTTGTCACATTTCTAAATAAGTTCTCTCATTTTATTTCAACATTTTAGTTCCCTGATGCACCATACATTGGTGAAGGCACTTTGGCCCAGAAGGATATTGAGAATGAAAATAGGTACCTAAATTATCTGTTTCTTTGTGTTCGAGGTGGTGATCTACAACGGGTGCGTATTCATTCTCCCTTTGAAATTTATATTTTTTTTTCTCGTTTTTACTAGACGGAATGCGTTCTATTTCCTAGGCCCAACGCATTTGTCTTCAGCGTGGAGATATCACTCGTGCCGTCGCTATGGAAGCTTGGCGTCCTTTCCATAGTAGTTACTTGTCAGAAGATATCACTCATCCAGACAATCATGTTGTAGAAGGCAATGCTAGTCGTGTCCTCAGTAAATCGGTAGCTTGGTGGAGTGCAGAGAATGTAATATCCGATTCCGTCTAATTCTTTTTTTATTTTTCAGTATTTGGTGGCTTATATTTCATTTTGTTGTACTTTCAGCCCGCTCTCAATGTGCATGAACGAGCAATATTCGCTGCACAGTCGGGAAATCTGAGTGCGCTGCTAGAGGCTGTGACCTCAGGCAGTTGGGAGGATTTGTTGTGGGCACACTGCCGTGCCCTTGTTGAGTCTCGGGTTGATGCCTCATTACGTTCAAAGTTAGATTGCGGACCGAGAGCAGATACTCTTGTAAGTGCTCCATCTTCCTTGTCACTCTCAACATTTATTCATTTTAAATGGCAGGCGTTTTGATAGTTATCATTAGTCCATTAGTTGACTTCAGGCTTCACTGAGAGGAGGAGGAACATCAAAGTGACAAAAAGTCGAGAGGGGGGACAGAATAATGATTCACAGATGTGACAGAGACAGACAAAAGAGCAGAGAAAAGGTAAGATGAGTACTGTAAATGGGTTGAATATGGTATACAGTGTGGTGACGGTAGTTTGAAGTGAGAAGTCAACTGCCGGATAATAGACTTTTTTGCCGTATGAGTATACGTTGCCCAGGGTGCACCACGTGGAGGTAAGTCTATCGCACACCCCCCATTC